AATAAATAATAAATATTTATAAAATTGTATTTAAAAAAAGTGCATGAACTAATTCAGGATGTACTACTTTTTTACCTTTAATCATAAATTTTGAATTCAAACTTGAAAGACAATCCTATTGAAAGTGTTCTCCTAAATAAGCGGCTCAATTTAAATTTAATTAGGGCTTCAATTCGAACTCAAATAATTTTGAATGTCATTTTCAGGAATCTATCATTTCGTTGTTTTTTAGTAGTGTTTATGGCGATTTTGATATTATAATTGGTTTATTAATTGAGTGGAGTTTAGTTAGTAATGAATGGTAGTAGGTTGGTTTAAAAAGTATAATAATAAATTAAATTATAATCAAAAGTTGAACGCCAAATATTTTAAAAAGTATTTAAACAATTTAATTTTAAAATCGTTAAAATAAATGGTCAATTTTGAACCTAAAAGTGGATGACAAGGATATTTTGGAGTCAATAGGTGGATGCGAATGATATTTTGGAGCTAATAGGTGAATGGAAAATAATTTGTACCATTTCCAATACTTAAAGAACATTTTAAGGCTTTTTTCGTAAACAATAAATTATTTTGTTTTATACTTAAAAGCCCTCGCTGAAAATAAGCAATCTTTTTGTATGCTTATTAATGACCTTGATAGATTAAATTAATCCGAAAAAAACAACAGCATACTTGTCAATTAAGTGAGATAAACACAAATTTTCGTCTATTCTAATTTTGATGAATAGAAAGATAGATATATGTAATAAAGGTAACAGGTATCTCGTGAAATTAGTTAAGATGCTTGAACACTAATAATCTAGTGATTCGTCACATCACTCATGTGACATTTTGGAGTAACTTGTTGGGTCCTAACTCTTGATTTCCAAACTAAAATCTTTTGAAATTCTTTTTATTGAAAATTATAATCGTAACTAATCTATCTTAATTCTTGATTTTCAAACGATTTTATTTAGGTCATATTCTTCGTGAATCAGAAATGTATCATAACTTATTTTATCACATTTTCAATTCATTTGATCTTGAAATTGTATTACAACAAGTTATTTGCATTTGGCTTTAATTTTGTGCAAACACAAACGAAGGGGTATTTTTTATAAAACAAAAGTAATATGACATATTTTAGTTGATGTAGATTCTGACATCAACATGGATAAGAGACACACGATGTTAGATAGTTTTAAATCAATAGGAATGGCTCGAGGGAAAACTAGTAAAGCCTTTGCTTTATGCCCAAAGACATTGGGCCCTAAGTTTTTCAAAAAGTTATAACAAATTTTATTGTTTTGTTTTATTTTGATAATATTGGACTTCGTTTTTAAAAAGATCTAAAATTGTCAACTTTTATAGTAGAAGAATGTTTTAGAATTTAAATAAAACTACTCACCTCTCCATATTAGTAAATATAGTGATTTTTATAATAACATCCAAAATGTTGTTTCACACATACATGGTTGACCTTTTATTAACTTAAAATTATTCTTTTATAACACTATTATGTTAACTTAAAAAATGTATCCAAAAATTTAAAATTAATTTACTTTTAATATAAAAATATATTGCTTTTTTAAAATTAACTAATACAAAATAATATCACAAAAATATAAAAACGCAATATGCTTTTTACGAACCTCTATAACAAGTAATGTTAGTTATTTGATTTAGCTATGTTGTGGAAAGAGATACACTTTCTTGTGAATCGGAAGATTGTTTGAAAATTTGATTTTGAATTCAAATTTAGATAAAGAAATGATAATATAAATTGATTTATTGATGATAGTATCTTAGTAATATTTTTAAATGAAAATTCTACTTCTTAGATTAATTGTTACATTTATTCTAGTAATATTTTTAAATGAAAACTCTACGTCTCAGATTAATTGTTACATTTATTCTATTATGATTAATGCTATATTTATTTTGTGTATGTTAATCCTCTGCATTGACCTATTATGTCTCAGGTTGCTTATCTTAAATCATAGTAAGCCTCTTGAATTTTCATTCCATGTAATTGAAGACTACGTTTCGATTGTTAAACAAGAGATTTGCTTAGTGAAAAACTAATTCGCATGTAAATGATTTTTTTTAAAAAATTGTTGTCACTCTCAATTTAGGTTAAATTATAACTAATTCATGTTAAGTTACAATATAATCGAGCAGTACATTTTCATGGACTTATTTAGCATGATCTAATATCTTCTTATTTTTAAAAAATAAATTCAACGACTTTGCAAATCGTTTTTTTTTTGGAAGTCTTGTTATATGTTCTTCCATCGCTAATTCAAACTCTTCAAATGGCATGATGTGCTAGGTGACTTAAACTATGATAGCAAAGAGTTTATCTATATCTAAAAGTTTTTAGTTTCTCTCTTATTGCATATTCCCATCTTTGAGAGCATTTATCATGCTAGTTCACTTTTTACTCCAATTAACTATTAATCTTGTAGCATTTTGTTTATCCTAAGCTAGCATTTGACCATAAATTTCCAAATATTCTTGGCAAATATTATTTGAGTGAAAATTTGGGTGAAATTTCACCATGTGTTTGGCTATAAAATTTGAGAAATATATTTCACATTTTTAGAAAAATATGATTTATACACACAAGTTTTAAAAACTATCAAAACTAACTAAAAGTTTGTATTACAAGTCAATTGAATGTTAGTTACAACAATAACAAATAATGTCCATGACACTGAAGCAATGTGGTAATTTGGAATGAGTGCAACAAGAATTATTGCATACATCGTGAAGTAGATAAAGTACATGACTTTGTTACCTAAAGCCAATTTTTAATAATTTTCATCAACAATCATATCATTATTTAATATTCACTAAATATTTCATCACTATTTTGGTGTTCACGTAAAAAATGATGTAATACAACGCAAGCAAATACTAGAGAGAGTGTTTTTATAAAAGATAAAAGATTGGGGGTAAAATTTTAATTTTTAAAATATCCCAAATAATGATATTTGGCTCAAATACTAGAAAAAACTAGTATTTAGAAATTTGGGATATTTACTAAAAATATTTGCCAAATAATAACAAATTGTATGGACAAACATTATTTGCCAAATTTTTTCCAAATATTATTTGAAAAATTTATGGCCAAACGGGCCCTAAAAGAATACCATTAATTTCTACTTTTGTACGAGTAGAGAAATACTGAGGTATAATTAATGATAAAAATAAATTAAAAATTAAATACAAAATAATTTATTAATTTTATAAAATAAATAAATATTATAAGATATTTCAAAATGATATAATGGATAATTATCATTAGTAGATTGAATAGTTTGTTTACCTCCCCCTTCGGTTAGCTTTCTAAAACTTACTGGCTCCAACCTAACTATTTAGCTTGATCTTTCACTTATTGGTAGTGCTTCAACTATTTCTTTACTTGCTGTATCTGAGTTACAACTTACAAAGTCAGGGTGGAGCTAGAATATAATATTCATCTGAATTACTTTCAAAAAGAATTTATATTATTATTATGAGAAAAGGATCTGATATATCTTTCAACTTTGTTATTTGGAGCTGATATACCTCTTATTATAAAAGTGGCTTATATATGCCCTTACCGTTATACAAACGGCTCACATATACCTCAGCCGTTACAAAATGGTTCACATATACCATTCATTTAATGGAAGTTAAAAAATTAGTTTTAAATTTATATGTTTTACTTCTAATTTTTTTTTAAAAAATTATTTAGGGATATATATGATTCTTCTATCAAAGTTCAAGGTATATTTTAATTTTTTTATACATAAATTATTTTTTGACTTCTTTTATTATAATTATTTGAGTTTCTTATTCTTATTTTGTTTTTTTCTTTCATTTCTTAGTTTAAAGAAAAAAAATTTAAACAATTTTTTTTGTGTGTATTGTAATTTAATTTCGTATTTGAAGAAAAAATTTGGTCATCTATAATAAGTTTTACAAGAATATTAGTGAAACATAAATAAATTTGATTATCAAAATAATAATTATAAATTTGGTCATTGAAACAAAAAAAAGTAAAAAAAAATATTTGACGAGGATTAAATTTAATCATATGAGATTATATTTTTTTTTTTAAAAAATAAAAATTTAGATTAAATTTTTTTTTTATTTTTGTTAAAGAAAAAGAATATACGTGAGCCATTTGTTTACAAATAGATGCATACATGAGAGGTATATCATAGGAGTGTGCAAAAATCGAACCGACCAATAAACCGAACCGATAAAATGTTATTGGGTAATTGGGTTATTGGGGTTTTAATGGGTTTAGAAAAAATAATTTTTGGGTTATTGGGTCGGTTTCGATTTATCCTATTGGGTTATTAGGTAAACCGATAACCCAATAAGACGATATTTATTTACTACTTACCCTTCCTCAATATTAAATATGCATAATTTAATACATAAACAGATTGAATATTAGCTTTTCAGGCTATGTGATTTTTTTGTTAGGAAATTGGTGAGAACTTTGTTGATTATCTGGTGGATCAAACAACTATTCAAGATTGTCTCATTGAAATATTTTATTTTAGTTTTAATTCTAGTTGGTAATTGTAGGCGATAGCTTTTGCAAGTTTGTGAATATTAGTAATTTGATCAACATTCAAAGTTTTCTATTATGTTTTGGTGGTAAGTTGGTAACATGTAATTATAACATACGTACTATTATATATTATTTGATCGACATTTTTTTATTGGGTTAACCGAAACCGAACCAATAACATCAAAAACCGATAAACCAATAAAAAGTTTCTTATTTGGTTTGTTATTGGGTTAGCATATTTTAAAATCGAAAACCGATAAACCAAACCGATTATATGTAAAATCGAACCGAACCAACTGATGCACACCCCTAGTATATCAATACTAAATGACAATGTTAAGGATATATCAGTCCCTTTTCCTTATTATTATCAACGCATTGGTATTGATAATAGGAAAAAAAAAAAAACTGTTACAAAATGAGAATCCATAATTCATGTAGAAGTCACAGTAAGTGAATACTGAATAGTGAGTTAAATCATCTTCTCGCAAGTCTCATATCATGGCTCAACAATCCACTAAACGACCCTTGAAAATCATCGCCGGCGCCGATTCCTTCGGCTGCAACCTCAAAGACGTCTTAGTCTCTCAACTCCGTGCACTAAACATCCAAGTTGAAGACCTCGGAACAGACAAATACTACTCTGTCGGCGAAGAAATCGGCCGCCGAGTTAGTCAAGCCGCTGATGACCCCGCCGTTGAAACTCGAGGACTCCTCGCATGTGGTACCGGCGTTGGAGTCGCTATTTTCGCTAACAAGTTCCCCGGTGTCTATGCCGCCACGTGTCTTAACACGGATGAAGCCCGGAATGCTCGTTCCATCAATAATTGCAACGTTCTCGCTGTTTCCGGTATGAATACCACGCCGGAGGTAGCTTCCGACGTTCTCAAGACGTTTCTGGAAACACCGTTTAAGTCTCCTTGCCCCGCTTCTGGATCTAACCCATGGCCCGACGAGATCGACCAATTTTTAGAAAATTCAATCCACGAAATGAACAAAATCGGTACTCCTAAACCAGTGGAATCCTCTAGTGATTGCCATCTTTGTTCATTGGTGAAGTCTAGAGAGTTCAATGCTGTGGATATAATGCCTGGTGGTTCAATTTCTATAGTGAGGGAAAGTCCTACTTCAGCATTTGTGCGTTTCACTGCGGGGAGCGTCGAGCCGGCGCATCATCATACATTCGGGCATGATCTTGTGGTGTTGAAAGGTAGTAAAAGGGTTTGGAATTTGAGTAAAGGGGAGAGATATGATTTGGGTATTGGGGATTACTTGTTTACTCAAGCTGGGGATGTGCATAGAGTGAAATATTTTGAAGATACAGAGTTCTTTATCAAGTGGGAAGGACAGTGGGATTTGTTCCTGGATGAGGATCATGCTGCTGCCAATGCTGCCATTGATAAGGAGAAGGAGAACTCATTAATCCCAGTGAGTGCAATGCTTAACTAAACTAACTTTTGCATGGATTTCAAGCTAATGAAGGAATATTTTAAAATAATATGAGTACAATATTATAATAAGTGTGCTTAAAATAGTACTACTAGTATTATATTCAAGAACAACTACTATGCCAGGAGTAAAGAGATACTACTATTATTTAATTAAATGGAAGCTTTTGTCCCCAAACTTGGTTATTTTTAACAGTCATAAGCATGAATAGAATGTGGTCTTTAAATTTTGTTCTTCAACTAACAAAAAGAGTGGTCGAAATATCCATCACCAGGCAAAAATAAAATAAAATAAAATAAAATCAATTGGCGGTGCAAGTTTATATATTTGTATCATAATATGATATAAGTCATGCTTTTAAATGCATAACAAGTTTTGCCGCTTAATTCTTATGCCTATAGGAGCATAGGTTCATTTCAGAACCCACAAGTTATATATATATGCTGTAAGAAGACATAACTTAGCTCCTACAGAACTTATGTAGATAGATGCATAAGTTTAGTGTTATGTCGTTAGAAGCATAACTTAGTCCCTATAGAACTTATGTCTATGGAGGCAAAAGTTTTCTAGACTTATGTCGAGCGAAATAGACACAACACCATTTATGCCGGGTGACTTAATTTCTATAGAACTAATGCCAGACGAAACAAAAGTCCATGCTGAACAAAATTAGGTCATACATAAATGAACTTTGGCACACAACTTTTCATTAAATGAGTATTAGGGGAAAAAATTAAGAGCACCCCAGAAGTAAGGGCAATCTGTGCAGAGTTTTTCTAATGTTATCTTTAAGATAGATAATCTTGTTATTTCGAAGAAATGAGAAGAATAAGTGAAAGATGAGAATTGAGATATGATATGATGGGGTACTGTTTTTGGTATGTGGATGTACTCAGGTTGATTTCTTTCGTTAAAAAACAAGCAAGTGGTGTTATTTAACAGCTATGTTTATTTGTAGCCTTTGCTGTTCCTATGTAATCTTCTATATGGTGGTGGGAGATTGCTATTTCTACAAAAATATGTTTTATTTTACTTCTTGTAGTTTGTTTGTTTCATATGATTGTCTAGCTTGTTGCTTGTTGATTGCATTACTATAGTGTCAGTTTCTAATGGTTTTTCTGAAATAAGTTATTAGCTTCGTGTGGACAAGCTAGATGCGTAATCCATCAAACTTGTACACATAGTACTGCACTAACTTTTTTGGTCTGTAAAATGAGATGTGAAGTATGTTGTGTTGTGTGTGGTTAATCTGCAATATAATATTGCCTCCATGTGTTGTAATTGCCTTAGTGAATTGCAAATTTGCAATGTCAGCTAAATGTGTCCTTTGAAACATAGTTATGGAGCTGAAAAGTTTGTGCATTATGTGATAGTTGATGAAGTTTTTTGAGTTTAGAAAATATTAGACACAGCCAGCTTAATTAGTTGATCTTTCAGATCAAACAAGTCAACAAAAACTTTTCTTCATATGTGTTTGTTGAACTTACCTTACGTGCTACACTATGTTGTTGTCTGAGATCTTTCCCTTTTTCATTTCTTTTCCCTTTGTGGCTATGCAGACAAACAAGTAAGGTGTACAGATCGAATGGTGGCATATGCGTATGATATTCACGACTAAGATATATGAGCGCTCTATCAAGGAAATGGTCTTCTCCAGCTTGATGCAAATATTGTAATGGCAGTATATATGTTCGTTTTTTTGTTTTGTTTTGTTTTCGACTATGAACCTGCATGTTAGGAGTTCATGGTTGCTATGATATATGTAATACTACTACTTTATGAACTTTACTTTTAATTCTCCTGTGTATATTATGAGTTGCAATGATTTAATTGGAGTCAGGGATATAAATAAACTTTTCTTTAACCTTATACTATGTAATGGTTTTCCAAAACCACATTTCCGTCACAGTTAAATTATCTGTCAAATATTCCTACCAAATTGTTAATCTATTTGCATGTATACTTATTTTTAGGTTTTAGTAGTTTTGGAAAGGTTATAAAGTACTTTTAGTCACCAACTTCTAGGCCAAAAAAGTTTTAAAATAAGTCAAAAGTAGGATACCATCTACTTGTGACTTTTAGCTTTGACTTATAAGTTACTTTTCACAAGCCCATCCAAACATGCCATAAACTTGGTCTGACTTAAGGTTAACATTATTAAAAGCTTATGTGTGACAAAGTTCTTCCCAATGATTGATGAAGTAGCAATAAGATACATTTCAATTATCTGGATTTTGTGACAGAATAGATACATACATCACTATGAAGATATACTAAAATTACATACATACAACATGCTTAAACCTTTTGATTTCCATCTTGTGGACTCAAAAATTAGAAGAATTCTTCCTTGTGCGATGCCTAACTGAGTTGTATTTGGATGATTTGCAGTCTGTCATCAGACAAGACTCAACTCATCAGATAGGGACACACCTTTAGAGATGTCATTCAACTCAGCAGCAGTGATCTTTTTACGCAACGCCATCAGCTGCTCTCCAACATTACATATGTATGCAGAAGCTTGCCTACCTGAAAGAGTTGCTCCTTCCATGCTATCGATGTAGTCCTGAAGAAAACAAATGAAACTTTAACAACCACAAGAACACCAGTCAAGTTGAAAATATCAGCATTCTGATGTATCCCTGTGAAACGGAATATCACAGGTTGTATTGCATACTTGGCTGCAGCTCATTTTTAACATTCATATAAGAAATTCGCACTATTCGTTGTCATTCTATCATCCTGTACAAAGGTCCTAATCAACTAGTTTAAAATTTCAAAGCCTTTAAACTGTCATTAGTTACATATGATCTCTTCCTTACAACAATGCAATATCTGGAAGTTTCTTGTAATAAAGTTTCTTGTAATAATACTTTCTCAGATAAGAGGTCATTTCAACCTGATCTGTATTCTATCAATGCATAACTATCTCATAAAGAATACACACTTCCATAGACGTAATTCAATTTTCAGCCATCAACTTCTTTTTTTCGGGCTAATGTTGGCCAAACAGAAATTAAACTTGCCCAATAAACCTTTTGAGGTTGATTCACTTTATGACATGAACACAGTGATATCTCTATTCCTCGAGTAGAAGCATCACATGTTTAATACACGGGATCTAAATAGTAAGAATTTAGGATAAAAGCAGGGTACCTGTTTTGTATATGAGCCAGCAAGAAAGAAATTTTCCACTGGCGTCTTCTGATCAGGTCTGAATGGGTCTTTACCAGGTCCTTCACGATATAAAGATTGTCCTATCTTCACAACTGATGACCAGGTAACCTCAAGACCTTGGGACGAAGGAAATAATGCCAAAACCTGATACCAAAATATCTTACATATTAAGGAGCCACTTGATTCAAATACTAGTATGCAAGTATTATTTGTCGTTAAATAGCTTAAACCTCATACTGCTAATACACTCATTCTCACTAAATGTTCTAAACCTCATAAAATTAAACATTGATTTACATTCAACTTAATGCAAATATTATTTGTGACAATTATTTCATCTTATGCAGTCAATCAAATGCTACATTTTTTTCTGATAACCAAAGAAACTCGCAAGGACAAGTGGAGTATAATTTGGAACCAAGGAGTAAATTAGTCCATCTCTCTGCCTCTTTCCACTTGAATACCAATTTTTTTTTTGTCTAAAGTAGATTTTGAATCCGCTACATGCGCATAGTCCTACATATCATGTGATGCACTCTTACCACAAAACCAAAGCCTACACACTATATCAGTTATCCAGTGATGGTTTTTTCTAATACGGCCAGACAAATGTTGAAAATCTCTATCCTACCATAGTTCTCTTTTCTTTAGCCATCTGTTCCCTTTCTCGGGGTGGGGGTGGGGGGTGGGTGGAAGGAGGAAGTCTAGGCTGCCAAGACCACCATTAGGTTCTGAAGTAATCGGCAATGTTTCTTTGAAATATAATTCTTACTTTCAGGGATGCGAAATTCTAATCCGGGATGCTTCTCTTTAGAAAACATATTCGTGTGCATGACATCCAAAGAATCCAATTTTGATAGATTAATTCATCACCGTGTCTTTACATAGTTGAAATTCCTTGAAGATGCAAAGCTTCATGTTTTTTTTTTTGTGGGGAGTAGCAGGTGGGGAGGGGTACTCGGAGTCGAGTCCATGCATTTTGTAATAGACTCTCATAGGTTCCATCGAGCTACAATTTATTGGCAATGTCATGGATTTTAAAATCCCTCAAGCACAATAGTGGCACAAATTTAAAACCCAAATACTACTAGAAAATAATTGACATTTGCTTCCCATTATTAAGTTTGTTTTGAAGTTTAAGTTCCTAGGATGAATTTGCTTCTGCAATATAACATATCCTACCTGGTCATTTTGCTTCTGCATAGCTTAACTCAGATCCCCTGAGTGCTTCCATTTTTAGTTTTGGTCTGTGACTGTGTCTCTGTTGATTAGTTCATCTGAACGAATTATGTCAAGAAAGAACTATTAAGACTCTATAACATGTGCTTCTAAGTTGCATTTACTTGGATTTTCAAACAGCAAGGTCACATATTACCTTTTTATCTTTTTCAGAGAGTACTTCCATTCTTTTATCGGTATAGGAAATTCAAAGATGAAACGGTATTGAGTCAATTATATCTATCTCGCCCCTAGGGCTTTGGACTAGTGGAAAGGGCACAACTTGTGATGTGTGGTTTAGGCGCATGTCACGTATTCAAACCCTGTCACGGCAGAAAACATTGTATATAAGTGGAGAAGGATATAGGGGTTGACCCATTATCCACAGTGTTACAAATTGTGTGCCACTAGCCCTTGCGGATACTCAGTTACTCAAAAAATAATTCTCTATCTCTATCCCTATATATTGTTTCCTGTTAAGTAAAATCATGGTTTCGTTTGATTTATGCTTCAGCTTAAGAATGTAATTGACAATATGTAGTTTGGACGATCTCTGTTCAGCAACATAAAATAGCGTTTTCCCTGGCATAATTTGTTACCTTATATCATCCACTAACACTTATAAGAACATGTGAATACCAAGGTTTTCCAGAAAAAAAAGAGGCTCATACAAGAAGCTAAATTACCTGCTTTGTAACTCTTTTAATGATTTCATCATTTGATAGAGGCATGTAAGGGTCACCAGGTGTAAGGACACATCTGGAGGCACCAAGATAGAGGAGAATACATCAGAGAGGAACAAAAAAAATAACCAGAAGATTTAAATATAATGAGTTGCTGAACAAGTTATCTGATATTAAAGATAAGAAGATAATTCCTTACTGAAGCAATGAGCCTTGTCCCTCAATGTAGTAATCATCTGGAGATGCCAATGCAAGATCTGCAAAGCAAGAGAAATCTGCATCTGGCGTATAGAGGAGATTGTCCAATCCTGCAGCGCGCTTCAATTGCCTGAATTACAGGGAGATTTTTTATCCAACACACAGATTTAGTCTTTCTTTCATCATATTAAAATTTCTTATTGAGAAAAATAGTTGCTTCTGAGCTATAAATGTATCACCTCGAACGCTCCAAGTCCTGCAACTCTGTAACCCAGCCATTGTAGCGTAGTTGTACGGTAACAACAGGCACTCCGACCAATTTGTAAATGTTGTCAAAGAATTCCAATTCCCTCCACTTCTGAGGAACCAATCTTTTAATTCCAGGGACATCACATGCTGCAATTAGGTATTCACCCAAAACAGTTTCAGTTTTCATGCTCTTGGAAAGGAGGGAAATGAGGGAAAATACATGTCCAATCATATAGTTGATTACCAACCAGCCACATATGCATCAGCTTTTACAATTTTCTTCTGAGTGGCCTGTACATTGACGCGATAGCAGTTGATTAACACATAGAGGCTTGTAAAGCAGCACAAAGGTACTCATATATGCATAAAAACATTTGAACCTATTGAAAGATATTCTATTCAAAAGCAATAAACTTGATGAAAGAAAACTCTTACCTTTGACATGGCAAGCCCACTAACATACATGCTTCCATCAGAGGATGTCTCATAGAGTACCTCTCTGCATCCCCACCTCAGATGGAACCTGTGGACAAAGAATAGATTTAAGTTGAGTATAGCTAGTCATTCAAGAGAAAATTTAAGGCCTAAATCTGCTAGTTCACAAAAAAGAGACAATTCAAGGTCTAAATCTGCTAATTCACAGTGCACAGCTGTTTCTATATTTGGTCTTACCTGCCCCCTTTGTCCATGATGTACTTCTTAATTGGACCACTCAAATAAACGTCAGGAGAACCTTTAAGCATGCGTAATAGGGAAGCCTCTGTTTTTGTGGCAAATAATGCAAATATAGTGAGCATACACCGAGCACTCATGTTATCACAGTCAATGAATCCAAGAGCATATGCAACAGGATCCCACATCCTCTGGATGCTAGCACGCGTCCCACCTTTAGACAGAAACCACTCAGAAAAGCTTACCTGAAATAGACATTACATAATATAAGGAACAAGTAGTGCGGAGAGGACAGAAACAGACTATCTGACTTGTAAACAAGAAGGAAAAAAAAAGAAGGAAATAACCCTTACATTATCTAGATCGCGTATCTGCTGCAATGCACCATCCGGATCAACTAAAGCCCGCACCACTGGACTAAGGGCAAGAGCTACAGCATTTCTAGCTTTATCATAAATCTGCCATTTAAAGGGAGGAGCACGTTAACGTCAATCACATATAATATGATCAGGGATTCTAACAACAGCAACACATAAAAGACATCACATATCTCTGTTTATTTATGGGGGAAAAACTCAAAAGAGAAAAAAAGAAGTTGCTCCTCTCGGGTTCGCCTGTCAATTGTCCCCTCAAAGTGTTCTGACCCTCTCTTTATACCTTTCCCCACCAACAATTCTCCTTCCATGATTGGATTAGGCCACTGCATGTTTATAGTTTTACATGCAAATACATATATGCAGAAACAATACTTGCAATCACTTTAGAACAAAGGTGGAAAAAAGAACTTTTTCAAGCAAATACCATTGCATACCATATGTAGCCGCCACACAAAGTGGTAAACCCTCTCCATAAGGCGTTATCCCCAGTGTGACCTTAACAGTAACTAACCTAGCAATCCCACATTAAAGATAGATAATCTCATATTCCCACTTCTTCTTGGTACAGTGATGTTGTTATATGCTTGTAATCTACCAAGTTCTTTGTCCTTAAGTTCAAACAAGAAATACCTCATTATTCCCCAACCTTTTAACTACATAAGATGACATACAAAATAAGCACATATTATACATTGATATATTAAAAGGTGGGCTTCATAGTGCAATCTTTCGCCTTTTGATATGTATTGCAGTACTTTCTTAGTATTGTGCTTGTTAATAATACTACCATTTCAAGAAAATGTATTGCCTATTCAGCAACTTAACCTCTTAGTCTGCTTTAAATTTACTGCCAAACATCAATCCCGAAAATGTCATGCTGCACCTTACACTTACATCCTGCCTCTCTCCTCCTACCAGAACCAAATTTAGACTTCTGAATTTTTATTCTTCATCCTTCCTCTTTAAGTTAAGAAGAAGAAGGAAAAGTATTACTAGATGTATGCTAATTTCCTAAGGAAGAAATGATATACTAACAGATTTCACCCACAAGTATGAGCAGCAGCACAAAAGTCAAATTTCAAAGGCAACCTTACTCCTTAGTATAAGATATAACATGAATTGAAAAATCAAAGTACGAAGAGGGCATTAGCATGTAACCTTTAACTGATTAGTAGACAGAAATGCATTAATTCCATGTAAGGGTGCTCCAACTGGAAAGCGGAAATCAAGTTCTGCATTGAGATATAGATCGCGAAGTATAAATATAACAGACCATATTAACTGTAATATATTGGAAGGCATGCTCCTCCAGGAGTCATTTGTGAAAGCATTTTAAAGTTTTCCTAGATAAAAGATTTTGTATCACATATATTATCATACCCCCTATTTCACCCCCTTTATTTACAAATGTGTGAGTATGCTCCTTCACTAGCAGATTTTTTTCAGCACCCACCTACATCAACCAGGAAAAAAGAAATAGAATTACTTAACTGACAAAACATCATCAGGAAACCAAAAAATACTATCAAGAATCCTTGGCACTTCAATATTAAATGAAGGTTAATCTTAGGCATTTCTACTGGCATAATACTCACAATAAACCTTACTCTAAAATATTGAAAATGCACTTTGACTATCAGTGAGCAAAAATGCAGTTCTATTGCATGCTCAACCACTCAGTAAGTTGAAATACTATATAACTATGAATGGTGAGCTTCGTGCACCTTTTTCAACAGACGGAACAGATTATTATAACAACCAAAGAACACGTGCAGTCCCATTTCAATGTGGTTCCCACGTCTATCAACAAAAGAACCCACTTTCCCACCAATAAAAGTCCTTGATTCGTATATATCCACCTGAAAAACAGTAGATGACATGATGTATTCCAGGTCACAGGGAAAAACACAAAGATAAAAGTCAAATTTTTCTTGTTCATTTTTATTTTATTTTTTGTTTTGTTTTTGAGTGAATTGATTATAGCACTTCTTGAAAGGGATGTTAGGCTTCTGAACCTCATGTCCTTGATCCAAGAGCTCCACAGCAGTCGACATGCCTGCAAGCCCAGCTCCAATAATAGCTACTTTCAGCTTTGGCCCCCGATAATGTTCAGGCTCGGGTGGAAATAGCCCTTTTGGAGCTGCAAGTTGAAATTCTGGTTAAGCAGCAGTTCTGACTTATAAAACAGAAATCATACCTCCTGATTTCATGGCACTATACACAACTTCTATTTCACCTCATTTAGATACTTCTTTTTCAATATTTTGGTACAACATCTAGGTTATCTTTAAGTTACACAAGAAGTATATATTTCAGGTGTCTAAAGAGAGAAGATTGAAATGATTGTGAAGTTCTTTGATTTCCAATATTGCCTATGCTTTTGTTCCTATAATAGCTAAAGGAACCAAAAATAAATCCAGATATTCTTGACATATCCAGTCCTAGACTGATCTTGAGGAAACAAGTAGGCAAAAGCGAATGAGATCATGCTTCTCACAGTTTCGAATTTTAACCCGCAAACAACCACGTTTTCGTAACTAAATTCAGTCTGAAACTATTTGGAGCAAAAAGATTATAAGAATCCATTCCTCTAACCTATGACTGCTTACTCTTTTATTGGATTAGTGGTTTGGATGTGATGCATTGGTAGTAGTCCTTGCAAAGAAAATCTTGACATGAAATGCAAGAAGCCCTAGTTTTGTCATTATTCCTTTTAGACAAAAAAATCTTTGATAGAAAAGAATCCATCAAAACCTTAAAAAATCCTATCTTCCACTGGCACTTCTGAATTCACAACATAGTTTAAATACCACCCCCTAAGTCAAATGATCCAAGTTTAAAGGCAAGGCTCAAAAAGTAAACAAATATGTGCAATCAAGAAACACTCGACAACCAATTTTCTAAAAGAAACGAACAGCTGATATGCAAAGCATCCATCAAAGCACATATTAACCTCAATGTATGTGTCTTACTACCCTTAAAAAAAATCTCATCTTCCACCAAAATTAGACAACAAAATCAAAAACCCAATACAACTTCCCACCAAAAATGTACACACAGAATTTTTTTTACATAATACCCTTTCACAACTCAGTTCAATATCTCAAATTACAATCCAAGAATCCTTACTAACACACAAAATAGAAAAGTAGATAAAACTTTACCGTTGGTACTCATATCAGAAACCATAGAATCCAAATCAGCCCGAATAACCGACTTTCGGGTCACTAACCGGTTGGACAAACGGGTACCACCAAAAACCAAGAATCCAGGTGACCCATTTGGGAAAACATGTTTCTTTCCAGTAGCAGAAGTTGCAGGACAAGAAAGATAAGCTGAAGAAGTAGCCATGGGAATTGTTCTCTACCCAATTATGAGGGTAGGAAAAAAAAGAAAGAAACTTTTCTTGTTAAATATCAAGAAAATGGGTTAACAAGAAAGAAAGACAAAAGAAAAAGAGAGGGTATCTAAAGATTACAAGATACCATAACTGGCCTAGAGAAATTCTTACTTAATTGTAGTACAATAGAATTGGGTTTGTTTTGTAGTGAAGTAATTGTGCGGTTGGTTAATGGATGAGACCACTGACAAAGTCAATGCTGCTGTGTTACCGCCACTACCAATTATATACTCATATATACTGCGCTTACGCACCAAATTAACAAAAAAAATTAGGCACTCCCATTTATTGATGACACGTTATGTGTCTCGATATTTTGGGTGCGTATGATACGAACGAAAATATTTTATATAAAAAATAAGTAAATTTATAATTTATTTTTTTATATTTGTTTAATAAGTAAAAATATATTCTAAAATTTTTAATTTAATTAATAATAAAAAATTAAAAAATATTTTTCTACTATCAAACATACTCTCTATCTTAAAATCTAACTAATCTGAATTCATATTAAATTTACTAAAAAGAAAATTTTATTTGAGGATAGTAAGAGAATAACTCTAGCCATTGCATCATATGTTTTTCATATACCCATAGTTTTGGGATATTATGATTGTGATTTATTTTTCAAATTTTAATATAACTATCGAAGTGTTCAAATAAAAACATTTAATGAAATTACTTTATTACACTTTTAGTATAAAAATAACTTGCCACATACAAATACCAAAATAAGATGAAAAAAATGCTATCATATATTATCCCAAAAACTATGGGGTATATGAAACCAGAAATTAGGCAACGAAAAATGGCGGGTATGTGTTGCTATAGTAGCCTTTCACAGACACTCATCAAAAAGGTAAAATTGTTTATCAAAAAAATGTAAAATTGCCATTTCTTGAAAATAAAAATAAAAATCTTTGCTTTCTCAGTTCAATTCTTGTTTTTTTTTTCTTATCAGAAATTGCAAGGTGGTTTTTACTGCTGCTCCCCTGCACCCAATAATCAGAAGGTGAAAACCCAAACACCCAAGTTGTTGAAAATTGCAGTCAGTGGTGTCACTGAACTACTCAGACTCCTCTCTTCATCATCAACAAACAGGTTTTGCATTTTCTTGAATTGGGGGTATTTTTATTTTCAAGATTTCATTTTTGCTTTTCCTAAATATTATTGTAATGTTTGCAAGATTGGGGATATCTGATGATGAAGGGGGTGGAGAGCCTTTGGTTTATAATGTAGAAGATGTCCTCAAGATTATCAAGTTAGATTATGAGAAGGCTTATTTTGTTACAGGTTGTATTGTTTATCTCTTAATAATTAGTACTCTATGTGTTTTAATTTGTTTGTTTCGTTTTGATTTGACACTGAGTTTTGAGTGTTCTGTTTCTTAACTGAAGATACGTAAAATGTATTTAAATGTGCTTTAATCTTGTGGATTTAAATATGTCATATGAGAAGTTAGGGTTAAAGAGTAGTCGGAAAGAGGAAAAAGATATTTTTTTTAAACGGATTGAAAAGGAAAGTAGGCAAACAAATTGAAACGGAAGGAGTATATACTTCCTAAATATCTGCACTTCTGAAGCCAACATGTAAGTCGAAACATAAACATGGACTTGAGTGAAGACTGAAAAAACTTAAAAGAGAGTTTGTTTGATTGAAGTCTTCCATGTAAAATGTTTGTAGCTAGGTATTTTTTTTTTTTGGAGTTGTCAAACTGATTTATAATTTTATTATCTTATACTTCACAGTGTCCACCAATTTTTCTCTGCTTTACTATGTGAAATCTCTCAATACTTGGATGACAAAGTTTTCTTTTTTCTTATTGTGAATAATGTGTCAGGTAAAGTTTAAGCCTGTTAATGTGGTTAAAGATAAATTGGTCTTTCACTAATTTAGAGCTTTCATTCAATTTAGGCCTCTTCACCAGTGGAATTTATGCAGAAGACTGTGTCTTTGAAGATCCAACTATAAAATTCCGTGGTAAGAGGAATTAATTTCTATATCAGATGGCACATTATTTGATATATGTATCACCGCTATGGCAGCAGTATAAGAAATTCCACATTTTATGTCCCGTATCGCACTAAGTCTTGAAGAATTTTTAAAAAAGTATTGGGCTTCTCGATTCCTTCACATAGTATCATAGATAACCTTTAATAAACCCCTTTTTTTCACTAGTAAGTTTGATTTTCAATTCATCTTTGAAGAACTGTATTATACATACTGATCTTTGCATTTGGAGGTGGCACAAGACATGGCCAGACAATCTACTTATGTGACATCTGATATTATCATCTATCTGTGCTACTTGTGCATTGGGTGTAAATGCCGGTTTCTTTTCCGGTTTTCATAAACATCTTAATTGACAGCTTCTATCGCTGAACTTATTCTATGTGTGACATGTTTGCTTTGTAAATCACTTGTATTTGCCTCTTTTATCCTGCATCTGTTGCTAGTGTCAGTACCATCTATTTCAGTTTCCAGCTAGCTTATTTTATGATTGTGTCATCCAGGAAGGGACTTGTATTCCCGCAACTTGCAATTGCTGGTACCGTTTTTTGATAGTCCATCAATCAAATTAGAAAAGATTGAGAAGGTATGTACTGCAAGTTCATAAATAGTATTAAAGAATAAAAAGATGAAAGAAAACAAATCCAAAAGAAGACGAACATTCGCTGAATATTTAGTGGGAAGTGTTTTGTTCTTTTCATTAGTTCTTGCCCCTTGAAGGAGATATGAAGTGTATCATTAATCTGATCTGTTTCAATTCTGTCCTCTTCAGGGAGAAAATTTGGAGAGAAGATTACTCTAAAGTCTCTTAACTTGAGAGTTTGCTGATAAAACTGATTGTGCTTTGATATTTATTTTATTGGGATCACACAACTCGAACTTTTTACTTGTCATTCAGATATGTGATATGAAAGGGATCACTTACCATTATTCTGAATCTATTGTTGGAGATTGCGAGTAAATTTGCAATCAACTCTTCTTCTTTTCTTAGTTACATCAATAAAGTGAAGTCTATTTACTGATCATCAATATAGATGGAAACATTTTTAGCTATGTTATTAAGCATAAGCATTTTTCTACTTAAAGGATAGCTAAGTTATCTACCATACAGATGAAGGATAGTAGTGGCTAACTCGGTGCAATTAAATAACTAAATTTAGAATGTAATGGCATGTATTTATCAATAATCAACAACTTCTTACGAATGAATACTCCAGGAATTTCTTTCCACCAAGACCTCCACAGCACTGGCCTTTATAAGCCAGATTATCTGGAAACCCATAACACTGTCTGGAGTTTGATGGTAGCTCCAGTCATAATAAGACAGACTATTTTGCTCATAATTCTCATGCTTGAAATAGGATTGTAAATGTGGTGACTGACAAATGGGAGGACACACATTACAATTATTGCTTTAAGCCCAAGTAAGATCTTGCTACTTCAATATTTTTCAAATCACCCATCAGTATTTGTGTGCAGTTCTCCTGTGGTGCTAAATCTACTAATAAAATCCTTATCAAGTATTTCTCAAACTGCCAGAGTAACAACAACATACCAAGTGAAATCCCACAAGTGGGGTGTGAGTAGGGTAGAGTGTACGCAAAGTAGACTCTACTTATATTTTTTTATGTAGTATTTTGACTTTTCCATATGAAATGGGATCTTTCCTAGTTTACTTGTTAACAAGGTCTACAAATTTGGACCTAGGAACAAATTGTGGTAGCATGGTTCAGAATGTGAAAAGCTCATTAAAACAAACTGCACTGTGGGTAGATTTAGCCTTGAATCTTCTTTTGGGTTGGTATTGTACTACTTATCTTGTATGTTAAACTGCCAAACATATGTTTGACATCATCCTCAGTTCAATTATCCACTCCAAAAGTAGGAGAATACGGACGGTCTGGATGATGATTCCAATTCCACAAGAAAATGTTTATTTAGTGCATTTACAATATTCAATCTTCCTTTCAAATCAGGAACTTTTTGCTTAATGCCTATCTGACTGATGTACAGGGTAATGATTCTAATGCAGGGGTCATTGTGGCATACTGGAAACTGAGGTACTTGGTTTTACTTGCAAAAAAATTTGTTAGCTTAAAGACGAATGTTTGTTTACCCGATTGTATTAACTGCTCCCTCATTCAAAGAATTTGACGTTTGTTTCTCTCAATTATGCGTAGTTGATCCTGATAAGTGAAATATTTTTGGATGTAAATGAATACCAGAGTTGTCTTAGATTCTTTCAACTATTCCCATGCTGATTTTACATCTGACTTGTAGAACGTCCCTCAAACTTCCATGGCAGCCTCTCATCTCTGTTGATGGGAAAACGGTCTATGATCTAGATGAACAACTCAAAGTAAGTAGAAAAGATTTTATCTCTACAATTCAAAAATTAGAACAACCGTCATTGATATTCCCTATCTCCAAACAGATTGTTAAGCATGTTGAGAGCTGGAACATTTCTGCTCTTGAAGCCGTTGGCCAGATTTTTACGCCTGGTTTGAGGAGCTCTGGTGAGTGAAATTCTACAGAGAAATATGTTCTTTAGCTGATATTCTTTATAGAAGACTCGTGAAAAATCAGATGTTTCTATTTGAGCTTCAATATACTCTGATCTTAGATCCACCTCTTAGGCTCTTACAGTTTACGCACAGCTTGAGTTGGATACACAGTTATATAGGTAATAAATAGGTGAAGTGATTTCTCTTGACATCTATTTATCGTAATTACTCATTTCACTATATCTTTATTATGTAAATTTGACTTACATCATTCTTGCATGATGCAATAGCTTTTCCACCTGCATGATTCTGGAATTCTTCAGTCCTTCATTGATACTTCCCTTGTGTAATGATACCATTGGTACTGTGATAAACACTTGGCATCGTGCTTTGTCTATGTGAATTTGATCCTGAAACAAGCTTAGATATCTCCTAACATCCTTGCATCCAGCCGCATTTTTCACATGGAACATATAAACACTTAACTTTTGTATCGATCCATTTGCATTCTGTGGTTATAGTTGTTGCCTCGTTTTTTCTCCATCAATAACTGCTCGTCCATAGTCATTGTTCTTGAATTTGTCAGTGGTAGTTCCACAGAAACTGTTCCAAGTGACTTGTAAGAACCAACTCAATTGCAGGAGCAAAAATAGTGGAAAATCACAACTGATCTGAGTAACTGAACCAAAAAAAGATCAATTACAGGAACTAACAAAATTACAGGTTTCTGTTATTACAATTTAGTACTCACAAATAATCTGAATAACTGAACCAAAAAAAATCAAATTAATATTCATTAATCTTTCCTCCATGCATACAATAACAAAGAAAATCCCTCATTACTCCCATATGACCTTATAGATGACCATGAACTCCTTCCACATTCACTGTTCTCCTCTGCCCACTGCAACACACTAGAGCACGATGGCGACGGTGACAAAGAGACGGACAGTGGTGTCGACATCGTTCCAGCTGTTGCCGACAAACTTTTCCTCATCAATTTCTTCTCGGCGCCACCCATTTCTGGCCAAACACCACCATCACCTACTTGGAACACAAAAACACCATGTTCATGTCCATGCCTAAATTTATGATTGTCACAGTTTTTATTTACCCAATTGAAGACATCCCAGAAAAAGGTTACCTCTACTTGACCCACTAAAATTCTTTCATTGCCCCTAAATTTCCAACCAATTCTTTTCACTACAAGACTTGTTTTCCCATCCACTTTCACTTTCAACACTCCACCCGCACATTCTATCACAAATTCATGTTTAACCCCCATAATCCGAGCCCGTGTAGTATAACTCCTCCGTCCAAACACATGTTCTCTCCTCGACAACAAAGTCAGGTCTCCCGTGCAACATCCTGATACCAGCCTGGCCCGTCCCGTCAATTCAGTCAACATATCACCAAGGAAAAACTCCAGTCTTGCATTGCAGGTAATTGCAATGTAAAAACACCCCTCAGGCTCTGCCGAGTTTTGATTGAACTTGGCAAGTGTGAAGTCCCAATGGACCTTCATCTTCTTACGGTCATGTAATTGGACCGGATGCACTGATTTTGATCCTGGCCGTGCCTTGAATATGGCGAAAGACGACTGGTGGAGTGGGATGGTGATGGAGATAAGATCAGGTGCATGAACTAACAAAGAATGTGAAAACAGGTTCTTGGACCAAGTGAGTGTAAGATAAACAGGTGAACCACAAATCTGAGCTTGGTAAATACATGTAACAAGATTTTGAGGCACTTGTGAAGGAGGAGGAGATGCAGAAGTTGTTTCTGAATCCTCAGAATTATGAGGAATATTAAAACAAGCAGGTATCATATTCTTCATCCTAAACACAACACTAGTACTAAATGTTGGAATCAAGAGTTGGAGGATTTTGGTTTAATGAAGTTAGCCATATTAATGTTTTGTATTATATGAGGTGGGGTTTTATGTTAGAGCTTGATTGGCGCCATGGAAAGAGATAGAAAGCTATATAGATAGATTTTTGTTCTCTTATTCATGATGAGTATATATATGTATGTGAGCTGGGAGGCATTAGCAAACTTCAAGACTTTCTTTTTGCTTCAAAGTCACCATAGCAGGTAACACTTGGTTTTTTACTTACTTTATCCACTTCTTATCATGTCCATTTTCTTCGTATAACTCCGTCTGTGTTAGCTCGTTCACATTTTGATTAAATTTTTGAGTGATAATAATAACGTCTTCAGTGTTTGTTGATTGTTGAAGCTAGTAAAATATTTTGAAAGTTATGAAGAAAATGGCTTCCCCACATAGGTTGATGGAAATGTTTTTCATGAAAAATGACTTTTATCGTACCAAACTGGCAATTGAAAAGTGAATTATAAAAGGGGAGATCCAACTACTCTTATTGGGGTGTTCCAATTTGGACATATAGGATAAAATAGGGGAGAGTTCAATGCTTCAATTTTCTTTATTCTTATTATCAAATGGTATGGGTGACTTAAACGAATTTTAAAATTGTAAATCGTTGCCTTTATAAAATTAAATCTCTTTCGTTGAAAAATTATACAAAAAAAAAAATTAAAAATACGAGCATCCACATCGTTGCCTAGCTGATATACAAGCCTTTTAATTTTAGAAGTCAAAAATGCCAATCAACTTTTAGCTGTAAATTTACTCGTTTGATTTCAAACTAATAGGCTGGCGTCCATATTCTTGTTTGATTTGCTTAAATCAAGAAACTAAATTTGGTTTAAAAGTCTACAGTCTAACTTGATGGTAGGACATACAAATTAATATTTCAAGTAATTAACAATTACAGTCTGTCCTCATTTTTTTATTCTAATAAATTATTGAACTTTTTTGTTGATTCAGAAGAAAAAGTAAAAACAACAACTTATCCTAATAATAAATAATTAATCAATTTCAAAAAACAAATGTTTATTTAAATAAAAACAAATTTTGTATGAAAGAAAGAGATTTCCCTTGCCCTCATACAACAGCCAGAGTTTTGTTTGTTCGCTTCAGTTTCAAATCAAATTTGACATTTTTCATTAAAAATTAAAATTAAATTCTGACCTTTCTTTTCAAAGTAATATTTTTGGAAAACAAAAAGAAAAAGTTAATCTTCATCCATGTTTTTTTTTCCTTGTATATGATTATAATTTGGAAAAAAAATTATCTAAATACACAATTTATTTTAATTTGAGAAAGTTACAAGATTTTTACTCTCTCTTATTCTCAGATACATTACTTTATGCGAAATTGAAAGGTGTTTGAAATCATAATGTGATGTTCGAAAATTTAGAGACGTACATGAATTTCAGCAAAAAAATTTTAAAAAGATTATAATTTCAAGAAAACAAAATATAATGGTGATTAGCTCTTTTAACATTATTGAATTTGCCTAAAATTTCCTAATAATTTTGGAGAGCATAGGAGTTGGTGAAAATAAGAACATTCTCCAACATATCAGTGTGATGAAGAGTAATTAAAGGACATTGTTCTGAAATATGTTCCATTTTGTAACCTTCATTACAGACATTATCATTACTCTCAAAATTAACCTTTGAAAAAATGAAGGAATTTTTTTAAATAAATAGTTGAAATGTTCTAACATTCTTCCCCCTTTTCATGAAAGTACAATTTAGCAAATATTTTTTTTTAAAAAAAATCGAACTGTTCTAATATTCTTCCCCCCTTTTCATAAAATTACAATATATTAACAACAAGAATGATAATAAATTCAGCATAAGGTGAGGCTTAAAGGATTCCTAACTTTTATAGGATGACAATATTCGATTAGCTACTAATCTTTTTCTATATTAATCTTCGATATTCATAGATTTCAATTTAGAGTTGTATCTTTCGTATACTGAAGTTTTGTGCCATATCATGTCTTATATAATCAATTCTCTTGATTTTTTCTACCTCTATATTTTGAAAAAATACATATTTATTTCTACTATTTTAGAAAAACTTACGAAGAATCAAATATTCTCTATCTCCAATAAAGAAATTAAAATAAGATGTTGGCGATAAGTGAATTTTGAACCTTATTCACGAATTATTTGTGATAGAATTAAAGAATGAAATTTATAGTAAATTAAAAGCGGAATTTATTTATTATACTATCGAATTGTAACAAGAAAATAGTTGAATAAGTGAAGTATTTATTTATTGGACCGTATTCATTTTCTAGATTTCATGGGCCATTAAATGAAATTACAAGGGCTAGCAAATGCTAAAGTCCAACTTAGATTGAGCCTAACCTTTAACGGACCAGGCCCATCTTCAAATTATAAAGGCTAGCAAATGCTAAAGTCCAATTTTAAAGGAAAAATTACATGAATTAATACATTTTTAAAAATAATTACTGATTTTAGCAATACTTTTTTGTTTATTATCATTTATAGTAATATTGTGATAAATATTTAATATGTATTAAAAGTGAATTATGTATGCAATATATTTGAATTATAATTTTTTTTGAAATATATTATGTTTGTTTGGTAAAAAATTGTCACATTGTATTGTAAGTGTATTATAATGTGTGATAAATATATTATCCATCATTAAAACTTGTATTATATTTGAATAATAAATTTATCTTTGTAATATGTGTTAAACTTGTATTATAAATGAATTAAAAGTGGTCAAGTGAAAAAAAATGTTATTGCTATAAATAGTAAATATTTTTTATTATAGTATATTTACGTAAGTTTCCCATTGTAAAAATAATTTTTTTTAAATATATATATAGATACACACATATATAATTTTTTTCTACCCCTCCCTACGAGCTTCCTCCCCTTTTGTCCCTATAGTGATGACTCGAAATCCGTCGGAGGTAAAAAATGCTTATCATTCGAGCAACTTCTTTTGTCATGTATTGTGATTTCACCTTATCAATAATCACCATGATGTAGTTTTGGTTTTTTATTTTTTTAAGAAGAAAAAAATGACTATAATTAATTATTATCTTGCTCTAATGATAAGAAATGTAAGCATGCATCATTTGACAGATTAAATTTTGTCAACAAATAGGTTATGTGATTCAACAAGTTTGAACAAAAGCAATAAATTTTGTAGAATATCATATAATTGCGTATTGTATACATTTACGAAGTTTTGAAAACATATGAATTTGATTACTTGTAAGTTGAAGCAACCAAACGCACCGATCATCAAAGTAGCGATCTAAAAGTTATAAGTTTTAAAATTATTTAGATTCAAATTTACTATCGAATTATAAAAAGGATATCGAATAGGCGAATATTGATTAAAAGAATACACTAAGATTTGGCATCATTTTCACAACGACTTTATGCTTGAAGAGTTGTAGTAGATTCCTTATATGTACGGAACTCACCAAATGAATTGTCATATAGTCAAAAAGGTAAGTAGTTAAAAATATAAAACCCAAAAAAAATAAAAAGAAGAGAGAAGAAAAAAGATTGAAAAATTAATTATCTTATTGAGAGGACATATTTTTGGATTAATATATAATCTATAGGTTTAACACCACATGATTTTGTCTTAATTTGTCCCTTTCATAATCACATGGATGAAATGCAAGCTTCAACACAAAGCCAAAAAAAAAAACTACCCACTTCACCTGCAAAAACATTATGATAAAAAGAAAAATAACTGTACTTCACCAAAGCAACTTCTATTATATTGAATCGTCATTTAATTTGAGTCCCAAACTAACTTAAATTTATGTTGTATAAGGCCTAAAATTTTGTATTTATGATTTGTTTTGTTCTATCAAATTAGTCGTATTATATAACTAGAGCCGTCAAAATGAGCTTAGCCTATGACGCTGGTCCAATCCAATTCGTTATTGGGTAGGGTTGGGATAAATTTTTCAAACCATTTAAAACCGTGGCTTATAGCTCAACCCGTATAAGTCTTTGGCTCTTCATACTTGATTAGAGTCGGGTCAGGATCATCTCATGGGCCAAACTTTTTATTTAGTTAAGAATAACTTACAATAATTTCACTAGTATATAATCAAATTACTTAAAAACACACTATGTTGTAATTACGAATCTTCTCAAATTTTTGTAAGTCCAAATTCATGCATCTTGAAATATAAGGACTCAAAATTAAGTTAATTTGTTGTAGATATACTCTATTCAAGTAGATTTGCATGTATCTAAGATATATACACAAATCTCGTGCTCTCACTCACTCATATTTTGTTTGTCACTCTCTTATCATACTCGTGTATCTGATATGTGAGATACATTTTAATTATTCAATATTTTTTATGAATATTATTATAACGACACTATTTGCCATATTTGATGTGAAAGTCTTCTAATTTTTTTGATGTTATATAATCATTAGTTTGAAAAGTAAAAAAAAACTTTAAAAAAAGGGCTAGCCTCCCCCCCCCCCCCACAACCTTGGCACTTCTAGGGTTGGGTTGGGTTGAGAAATTTTAGGCCCTTCGAAATGAAGGGGCGATTGGCCTTAGCACTTCAAATTTCTTGGCTCTCGAGATTTGGGCCAAATGTGATTGACCGACCTTTTTTGATCGCTCTATATACAATGTATTTATTAATTTCTTTATGAATGTGATATTTTGTCATTAATTTTAGATTTCTTTTGTATGATTTATATAAGATATTCCTTCTAGTTGTTCATTGAATCCAATGTCATAAGAAATAAAATTATTTTAAACTTAAAATTATAATTACTCGGGTATATATTATATGAACTATTATTCCATTTATTTTATTTGTCTCCTTAATAAAGTTGCTTATCATATTCCTCAATACAACATGGATAATATTTTTTTGATTGCTAAATGTCTCTTTAATTATAAAATCAAACTAGAGCTCCACTAATTAATTAATAATCATCTATTATCACAAGGTAAGCCGTATATATCTGGATTTTTAAAATTATTTTATTTAGGCTTTTGCATACCATTTAAGAAAACAATATTTTGATTGAATTGCTCTTATTTACCCTCAACCTTTTAATATTGTTCTTAGAACATTATTATTATAGTAAAAGTAAAAGTAAATTTAGAAAAAAATAAACAAATTAATTTATTTAAATAATTTTTTAAAAAGTGAGAAATAAATTGGAATCACGGAGCAATATCAACTTTGGACTATAGTTT